ATTAATCTGATAGCCTCTGAAATCAAGAATTTGGGAGTAGTGTAGTTGAATGGCTCTGGCTCAGGGACCTTCATGAGGTTACAAAGGGGCTACAATGGAGGGATCACAGTCATTTAAAGACCTGGCTGGGGCTGGCATACCCACAGGCAGACGTCCTCTGGGGGGCTGTTGGCAGGAGGCCTTAGTTCCCTACTGATCCGAGGGTCTGGGGACTCAGTGCCTCACCACACAGGCCTTCCCATGGTATTCAGGCTGTTCCCTTGTTTTGATTTTCCCCTTCAGGGATTTCCATTTACCGTGTGCTGGGTCTTACTTTCCTGTGATGGTTAATATTAGGTGTCAACTTGATGAGATTGATGCCTAGATAGCTGGTAAAGTATTGTTTCTGAGTGTGTCTGTGAAGATGTTGCCAGAGGAGACTGACATTTGAGTCAGCGGACTGGGAGAGAAAGACCCACCCTCAATGTGGGTGGGCACCATCCAATCCGCTGCCAGGCGGCTAGAACAAAGCAGGGGGAAGAAGGTGGGATGAGCTGACTTGCTGAGTCTTCTGGCTTTCATCTTTCTCCTGTGCTGGATGCGTCTGTTCGTTCCTCCTGCCCTTGGACATCGGACTCCAGGTTTTTTGGCCTTTAAACTCTTGGATTTACACCAATGGTTTGCTGGGAGCTCTAGGGCCTTTGGCCACAGACTGAAGGCTGCACTGTCAGCTTCCCTGCTTTTGAGGCTTTTGGACTCAGACTGAGCCACTACTGGCTTCTTTATCCCCAGCTTGCAGACGGCCTAAAGTGGGACTTCCCCATGTGATGGTGTACGCCAGTTCTCCCTAGTAAACTCCCTTTCATATATACATATGTCCTATTAGTTCTGTCCCTCTGGAGAACCCTAATACATTGCCTATCTTCATAAAATTACAAATATTTGTAATTTTCTATTTCTTTGAATTTTTTTCATCTCTTTTAAAATTTCAATTTTTCATAATTTCCTCCTTTTCACCTTCTATTTCTCTTAAGGCATCTGCTGTGTTAAGTCACTCCAGTGTTCTTTTAATTTAGTCTACCTTTTTGAAATTACTTTTTCTTTCATTTCTAAATTTTTTCTGACTCCTGTCAAATCACATTTCAGAGTTTTTCTAACTCTGATTTATTGTTCTTCCATGTCTTGCATTATTCTTAGATGTGTTTCATCTTCTTTTTTTTTTTTTTTTTGAGACGGAGTCTCGCCCTGTCACCAGGCTGGAGTGCAGTGGCGTGACCTCGGCTCACTGCAACCTCCGCCTCCCGGGTTCAAGCGATTCTCCTGCCTCAACCTCCCGAATAGCTGGGACTACAGGCGCCCACCACCACGCCCAGCTAATTTTTGTATTTTTAGTAGAGACAGGGTTTCACCATGTTGGCCACGATGGTCTCAATCTCTTGACCTCGTGATCCACCCGCCTGGGCTTCCCAAAGTGCTGGAATTACAGGCATGAGTCACCACACCTGCTATCTTTTTAAATAGTTATGGTTCCAGGGGTTTTTTGGTTTTTTTTTGAGACTGGGTCTCTCTCTGTTGCCCAGGCTGGAGTGCAGGTGTGCCATCATAACTCACTGAAGGCTTGATCTCCTGGGCTCAAGCAATCCTCCCACCTCAAGCTCCCAAGTAGCTGAGACCACAGGCACGTGCCACCATGCCTGGGTAATTTTTTCCAGAAATGGAATCTCGCTATGTTGCCTAGGCTGGTCTTGAACTCCTGACCTCAGGTGATCCGCCCGCCTCTGCCTGCCAAAGTGCTGGGATTACAGGCGTAAGCCACTGCACCCAGCCAATGTAGGGATTTAGAGTAACACATTACACCACTGCTATAGCTTTCTTCGCAGAATTCTAATATTCTAGATATTCTTGTAAATGGTGGTTGTGTTCAGTTTGTAAAAGTTCACTGATCTGTGCCCTTCATGTGTGTGCAGTTTGTTCTATGTATATAAATAGGAAGTTAACCCCCATGTTAGTCAGGATTCTCCAGAAACAGAATCAATAGGATGTGTGTGTGCATGTATCATATTTGGAAAGAGATTTTAAGGCATTGGCTTATGTAACTATAGAGGCTGGCAAGTCCACAATCTCCAGAGTAGATCATTAGCCTGAGGACCCACAAAAAAGCCAGTGTTGGAGTCTGTCTGAAGGCCATCTCAAAATTAGTCATCACACCCCCAAAAAAGAACCTTACTTTGGGTTTATAAATGAGACTTAGAGATGCTTAGTAACTTGTTCAAGCTCACTCAGCTAAAAGGTAATGAACCCAAGAGCAGAACTTGGCTCTCACTGAGGCCAGAGTTTGTGCTGTTTCCACTATATGAGGCAAAAGATGTTCTAATGGGGTCCGGTCCCATCTTCATGGCTACTTTGCAGGTAGGTTCAAGACACCATCCTCCTCAATGGGTGGCTGCAATAGCTCCAGATTGAACCCACTGCTTTTACCCTCCATGCAGCAGCTAGAAGTGTATCAGTCTGTCACATGTTGTCTGAGTTTAATAGTCCAGGGCTGCAATGACTGTTCCATGGTGAGGGGATCCAGTTACCCTCTATTTTGTTGCCCTGCCATCCTCAACATATGGCTTCCATCTCCTGGCCTAGGATGGCTCCTCCAGTCCCCACCATCATGTCTGCATTGGAGCCAGTGAGAGAACGGGAGGAAATGGAAGCCTGCACTTACTTCTCACAGCCCATTGGCTACAGCAATTGGCCAGGTTGTTTTGGTCACATGGAAAAGCTTATATGCAAAGGAGTCTGGGAAGTGATTTTTAATTGGATAGCTGCATGCTGAGCCTAAACTTAGGGGTTCCAATATTAAAGGAATATTGGAAGGGAATATTAAAGGGGGGAAATGAATATTGGGGGATAACTGACACTCTGTACCACAAATGATTTTCTGTTGCTCTTACAAAAATACTTTCTACCACAAATGATTTTCTGTTGTTCTTACAAAAATACTTTCTATCTCCTCCGTGGCTTTGCCCTGCCTGGCGCCTGCTTGCTGCTCCAGCCTCCCCTCCCAGCACACTCCCCTGAACTCTCTGCCCTCTAACCACACGGTGACCTTTCAGTTCCTTGAGTGTTCCATGCTCCCTCCCACCCCAGGGCCTTTGCATGACACATTCCTTCTGCCTGGAATGCTCTTCTGCTGTATCACCTAGTTAACTCCTACTCATTCTTCAGATGTCTCAGCTGTCATTTTCTCAGGCAGGGCTTCTCTCATTCCATTCTAATGTACGTATTTTTTTAGCCATGAATCTTTCCTCTATAACATTCACCTCAGTTATAATTGTACACCTGTTTAATAACCATTTAACTAATTACCATCTCTTTCTCTAGACAGTAAGTCAATAAAGGACAGATCATCTTGGTTTTGCTCATTGTTGTATCCCTAGCACCTAGCAGAGTGCCAGAGACAAATATTTGTTTTTCTTGAATAAGTGGACAAAGACTCCTTAAAATTGTCTGGATGATACTAACAGGACAATTTCAGCTATGTAGACAAGGTCTCAGACTACATGGCTTGACCCAGAGATCTGTTTTTTAGTCTCTATAGAGAGTCTGGGCTATCTAGGGCCTCCTGTGGATAGAGCGAGTTGTTCAAGTTCCACCTCATAAGGCTTGGTTCTAATATTCATTGCATTGCACTCTTGCTCCCTGACTGCAAATAGATTCTGCCAGGCTTTTAGCTTGTTGCTCTGATGAGGTTGTATTTACAAAAAAAGAAGCCAGGCAGGTTGAATCCTGCCAAATTGCATCTCTACATAGAAAGCCCCATGGCTGCATCATGTGAATGCCTGGCTGCTCTGCGGTTCAGAGCTTGGAATTTCTAGAGGGGAAAGCACTTGAGAGTGCCCACTGGAGTTAATATGGAGTACACTGGGGAATTTCTGTTAAGTCAAAGATTTACCTCCTGCTTCTGCATTTTTCTGGTCCAAACACAAAGGCCTCTCCTGACCTTAGAGTTCTGTGTCTGGATGCTTTTGGCTACAAAACCAGAAAACTCCTTCTCAACTGACTTAAACAGTGAGTTTTGCATCACACATCACAAGGAGGCTGGAGGTAGGGCAACCCAGGGACTTTTAACTGAGCAGTTTGCATACTCCATGGAGGACTTGAATTCTTTCCATCCTTATTTTATATGTGTGGTTCTGCCCTTGCTTTTTTCATTTGACAATATATCGTTGAAATCATTTCCAACAGGACGAAAAGAGCTACCTTATTGTTTTCAGACTGAATAGTGTTCCATTTTAAAGACATATCATAATTTACTTAACCAATTCCCTTGTAATGAGCACTTACTTTGTTTCCAATCTTTTGCTGTTACAATGATGTGATGAATACTCCTACATAAGTTATTTCACATGTGACTGAGTGCATCCAAGGATAAATTCCTAGAAGTGAGCTTGCTGGGTCAGAAGCTATATGCCTTTGTAATTCTGGCAGATGTTGCCAATCTGCCTTCTGCAGGGGTTGTACCAACATACTCCCCTCCCCAAATGTGTAAAGGAGCATTTCAAGTCTTTTTGACACCTTAACTTAAACCTAGGCTAGAAAAAATATGGCAGGTGCCTAGGTGATTTCTGCATAGAGAAACAAAGGTGGGTTGTTTTTCAACCCAGTCATTTTAGCTGGCACCAACATAAGCCTCAGTGCTCTTTTTCAATAAATTAGTAATCTCTGTGGACTCCCCTGCCCTCACAATTGTGAGGGTACTAGGATGTCCATGCACAGTCCGTATTTCAGAACTTAGTATCTGCAATTTGATCATTCTGTCCACAAACTACTCCTCTCTAGAGGTCTTTTCTCCCCATCTCCACCTGGCAATCTCCTCGTCCTCCCTCAGGCCCAGTTGAGATGTCCCCCCTCCTCCATTAAACATTATCTGACACCCCCAAGCAGAATTAGTCACTCTTCTTTGCTCCCATGGAATTTTGCTCACACCTCAATCATGGCACAAATCACTTGTAATGTAATTATCCACTTACCTGTTCATCTCCCACACCGCATGCCTTAAGGATAGAAACTTCATCTTCATCTTTGGGCCAGCGCTTCTATACATGGTGCCTGGCACATAAACACTTCACAGTAAAGCTTGCTGAAATGAAATCAGGCAAGGGCGCAGTTTTGTGGTGCCTGGTGGCAAAATCAAACAGTATTTATGTTTTCCCTTTTCTGGTAGTGTCGATGAAAAGGTCAAAAATATGGCACTTCCGAATATTTCTTTATATCTTTTTGTGTTCCTGGACTTCTCCTTCTCCTGGAATCTGTCCTGTTCTCAGTGCCTAGAACACTGCCTGGGAAACAATAGGCATTTCATAAATAAATATTGGATGAATGGGTATCTTTGATCAGAGGAAGCTTCCAAAATGCAGCTGAATTTTTTTTTTTTTTTTTTTTGCCTGCTTGATGTGCCCAAAGGGTATTTCCAAGTCTTTCCAAACCTTCAAGCATGGACCCTCATTTGCCAGTTCTGTGTATTTGGGTTTTATTTCACCTCAAGTTAATGCATGTAAAAGTGCTTAGAACAGTGCCAGCCACTTAGTAAGCATTCAATAAATGCTATTATTTTTTTATTATTATTCCCACTAGCCCGAACATGCTCCCATCAGTCCACCCCTTGTGCTGGGCTCTTCATTTCTCTCCCCACCAGTTAATGTGGCCTCAACCTGGAAAACATCCATGTAAGCACTCAGGTTTCAATTTACCAACTGTGTGACCTTGGGCCAGTTACTTCATCTCTTGGAGGCTCAGTTTCTTCATTTGGAAAATAGGCGTTATCTTAATATCTACCTCTAGATAGATATTAGATAGACATTGTTATGAGGATTAAATGAGCCAATCCATAGACACTGCTTACCATCATGCAGGGCTCAGAGTCAGCATTTAGCCAGCATCATGATCATGATCATGATCATGATCATCATCATCATCATTGCAGATGCCAAACGCCTTTCATCTCTTCTTTCTGGGAGGCTCATTCCCACAGCTCTTCTGGCTGATGGTAAACCTTTAGCTGGTTCTGAAGTTTGGGGCATCACCAAGAAGCTTGTGTTGACCATGTGATATGGTTTGGCTCTGCATCCCCACCCAAATCTCATCTTGAATTTTAATCCCCACATGTCAGGGGAGGGGTCTGGTGAGAGGTGACTGAATCATGGGCATGGACTTCCCCCTTGCTGTTCCTGACACTGAGTGAATTCTCATGCGATCTGGTTGTTTGAAAGTGTGTGGCACTTCCCCGTCACTCTTTCTCTCTCCTGCTCATGCAAGACATGCTTGCTTCCCCTTTACCTTCTGCCATGATTGTAAGTTTTCTGAGGCTTTCCAGTCATGCTTCCTGTTAAGCCTGAAGAACTGTGAGTGAATTAAACCTCTTTTCTTCACAAATTACTCAGTCTCAGGCAGCTCTTTATAGCAGTGTGAAAACGGACTATACAGAAAATTATTTATAACAGCTATAAAGACACCTGGAAATGTGGAAGCAACTTTGGAACTGGGTAACAGGCAGAGGTTGGAACAGTTTGGAAAGTTCAAAAGACAGGAAGATGTGGGAAAGCTTGGAACTTCGTAAAGACTTGTTGAATTGTTTTGACCAAAATGTTAATAGTGATATGGACAGTGAAGTCCAGACTGAAGTGGTCTCAGATGCAGATGAGGAACTTTTTGGGAACTAGAGTAAAGGTCACTCTTGCTATGCTTTAGCAAAGATACTGGTGGCATTTTTTCCCCTGCCCTAGAGATCTGTGGAACTTTGAACTTGAGAGAGATGATTTAGGGTATCTGCTGGAAGAAATTTCTAAGCAGCAAAGCATTCAGGAGGTAACCTGGGTATTTCTAAAAGTGTATGCTCATATGCATGAACAAAGAGATGATCTGAAACTGGAACTTATATTTAAAAGGGAAGCAGAGCATACAAGTTTAGAAAATTTGCAGCCTGGCCATGTGGTAGAAAAGAAAACTCCATTTTCTGGGGAGAAATTCAAGCCTGCTGCAGAAGTTTGCATAAGTAAAGAAGAGTTAAATAGCCAAGACAATGGGGAAAATGTCTCCTGGCATTTCAGAGACTGTTGAGGCAGTTCCTCCCATCACAGGCCCAGAGACCTAGAAGGAAAAAATGGTTTCATGGTCCGGACCCAGGCTCCAGCTGCTCTGTGCAGCCTTGGGACATGATGCCCTGGATCCCAGCCACGCCAGCTCTAGCCATGGCTAAAAGGGGCCAAGGTACAGCTCTGGCCATTGCTTCAGAGGTTGCAAGCCCCAAGACTTGGCAGCTTCCATGTGATGTTGGGCCTGCGGGTGTGCAGATGGCAAGAGTTGAGGTTTTGTAATCTCCACCTAGATTTCAGAGGATGTATGGAAATGCCTGGATGTCCAGACAGAAATCAGCTGCAGGGGCAGAGCCCTCATGGGCAGTGCAGTGGGGAAATGCAGGATTGGAGCCCTGACACAGAGTCCCCACCAGGGCACTGCCTAGTGGAAACATGAGAAAAGGGCCACCGTCCTCCAAACCCCAGAATGGTACATCCACTGACAGCCTGCACCATGTGCCCAGAAAAGCCACAGGCACTCAATATCAGCTCGTGAAAGCAGCTGTGGGGGCTGTACCCTGCAGAGCCACAGGGGCAGGCCTTGGGAGCCCACCTCTTGCATCAGCATGACCTAGATGTGAGACATGGAGTCAAAGGAGATTATTTTGGAGCTTTAAGATTTAATGACTTCCGGCCAGGTGCAGTGGCTCACGCCTGTAATCCTAGCACTTTGTGAGGCTGAGGCAGGTGGACTGCCTGAGTTCAGGAGTTCGAGAACAGACTGGGCAACACAGTGAAATCCTGTCTCTAACAAAATACAAAAAATGGCCAGGTGCGGTGGCTCACGCCTGTAATCCCAGCACTTTGGGAGGCCAAGGCAGGCGGATCACTAGGTCAGGAGATTGAGACCATCCTGGCAAACACGGTGAAACCCCGTCTCTACTAAAAATACAAAAGAAAATTAGCCGGGCGTGGTGGCGGGCGCCTGTGGTCCCAGCTATTCAGGAGGCTGAGGCAGGAGAACGGCATGAACCCAGGGGGACAGAGCTTGCAGTGAGCAGACATCGCGCCACTGTACTCCAGCCTGGGTGACAAAGTGAGACTCCGTCTCAAAAAAAAAAAAAAAAAAAAAAATTAGCTAGGTGTGGCGGCGTGTGCCTGTAGTCCCAGCTACTTGGGAGGCTGAGGCAGGAGAATTGCTTGAACCCGGGAGGCGGAGGTTGCAGTGAGCCAGGATCATGCCACTGCACTCCACCTTGGGCAACAAAGCGAGACTCCATCTCCAAAAATATATATATATATATATATTTTTTTAATGATTTCCTTGCCAGGTTTTGAACTTGCATAGGACCTGTAGTTCCTTGGTTTTGGCCAATTTCTCCCTTTTGCAATGGCAGCATTTACCTAATTCCTGTATTTCCATTGTATCTTGGAAGTTACTAACTTGTTTTTTACTTTACAGGCTCATAGGCAGAAAGGGCTCGCCTTATCTCAAATGAGACTTTGGACTTAGACTTTTGAGTTAATGCTGGAATTAGTTAAGACTTTGGGGGACTGTTGGGAAGGCATACTTGGCTTTGAAATGTGAGGACATGAGATTTCGGTGGGGCCAGGGGTGGAACGATATGGTTTGGCTCTGTCCTCACCCAAATCTCATCTCGAATTGTAATCCCCATGTCAGGGAGGGGCTTGGTGGGAGGTGACTGAATCATGGGGGTGGAGTTCCCCTTTGCTGTTCTTGTGAGAGTCAATGAGTTCTCACAAGATCTGGTTGTTTGAAAGTGTGTGGCACTTCCCCCTTCACTCTCGCTCTTTCCTGCTCCACCATGGTAAGACATGCTTGATTCCCCTAACCCTTCCACCACAATTGTAAGTTACCTGAGGCCTCCCAGCTATGCTTCCTGGTAAGCCTGTGGAACTGTGAGTAAATTAAACCTCTTTGCTTCATAAATTACCCAGTCTCAGGTAGTTCTTTGTAGTTAAAATGGATTAATATATCATGTGTTGATGAAGTTCCTGTTCTTCCCTCCTTACCCTCCTATGTGGACTATCTAAAGATATTTATTTCACTCCCACAAAAATGTTTTGTTCTGACCCATTCCCTAGAGCTGAAAGTAGGCTGTGGGAACTCTGAGTGAGAAAATAAGAGCAGCCTACTCCCCTGACCATATTCCTGCCCGATGACCAGTATTTGGGTGACACTTCACCCTGCCACCAATTTTTTGAGTCCTATTTCCCATAGACTCTGTGTTAGTTCATTCTTGTGCTGCTATAAAGAAACACCTGAGACTAGGTAATTTATAAAGAAAACAAATTTTGATTTGGCTCATGTTTCTGCAGGCTGTACAGGAAGCGTGGTGCCAGCATCAGCTTCTTGTGAAGGCCTCAGGAAGCTTTCAATCATGGCACAAAGTGAAGGGCAGACAGCACATCACATGGTGAAGAGATGGAGCAAAAGAGAGAAGGGGGAGGTCTCAGATTCTTTTTAACAACCAGATCTCATGTGAACTAACTGGGAGAGAACATCACCAAGAAATGGTGCTAAGTCATTCGTGAAAGATCCACCCCCATGATTGAATCACCTCCCACCAGGTCCCACCTCTAACACTGAAGGTTACATTTCAACATGAGATTTGAAGAGGACAAACACCCCAAACATAACAGACTCACTTGTGACTTTGCCCTGTAAACTTTCAGGGAAAATGAGGTCACTTCTGTCCCAGAGACTCTGTTATCTTACCTTCTCCTGGGGTTCTTCATCTAAAGTAGTAAGTGTAAATTCCTTACTGATCCAGTTTTTGTGTGTGTGTGTGTGTGTGTGTGTGTGTGTGTATACACAAAAATTACTATATAGAGAGTAATTATTCATATATATAGAACTCCTAGGGACAAGTGATCTGCCCTCCTCAGCCTCCCAAGCAGCTGAGATTACAGGAATGTGCCACCACACCTGGCTACAGCAAGGCTTTTGACAGAAATGGTTAAAAGAATTCAAAACTGAGGATCCTAGTGCTGGGGGTGTGATATTTTGTGTTATTGGTCAGTAAGAATGTCTCTTACTTAAGACATGAGTCCTGAAGGTGGTAAGAGTTAATTTATTTAGAC